CGACCCATCGATCTGCACAACCTTCCTGGTCGTCCAAGTCTTTCTCTTATTTCGAACAGTGTAACCTCGCATATTTCTCGGTAAAACATGTCCTAGTCCACAGCTGTATGTGATACCAGTCCCAGTTGCTGTTTAATTTGCCACTGCTCAAGTCCCTGGTACCACCAGTATGTAAACTTCATAGTTTCCTCTGTTGACAAACTGGATTTTTCTAACCAGCTGCCTTCCCTTATGCTCTTCTCAACTCGACGTCACTTTCCGATCTGTTTGCGGCATTGCCAAACAAAACCATCCGACCAGTCATCGTATCAAGAAATGGTCCATTGTTCCGGCTCAACTTTTCAGTAAGCATCAAACAATAGTCCTTCTGTTATTGGGGACTTTGGCCGAAGGAAGGTGGAGAAACTCGTCACTGATCAAGAAAAAAGTCGGAGTGACAATTTTTCTGCATTGGAGGAGTGGGTAGTGTAAATATGTACTAGTAAGATCAATCTCCATCGGCGCACCCAAGGGTAGACTTGACCCTCGATGAGCTAGAGTTATCCGTATTTCGGTGACTCATTTCAACCACTACTCTCTATATGCAAGTCAAGTCGCCTGGTAAATAGTCAACGCACAGAATTATTTCTTGATCTTACTACTGGTGTTAAATGCAATCGAAACTGACGGTTTTCTGTAGAGAGCCACGAGGCGATAAAAGACCTTGTTCCTGACGCACAGCTATTTTTTAAACGAGGCGCTCATTTTTTAGAACCAACATGTTTACCTAACACGAGGATCCCTCTTTACAAAAGCGCCGAATTCGTGCAACTATGTCGATGATACAAGATAAACTGATCAAAGCAATGATTTCTAGTTTTTGCGAGAGCATGTATTCGTGTTATTTTCGTTTTCAATCAAACGCGTTGCAAGATGAGGGTGTGAGATTTTTTACTCACAAGTAATTTTTTTCAACCCAGTTTAAGCTCGATTGACAGATATCACAAACATGTCTCGATGCAATGAGCCCTTCGTCCTTTAACAAATTAACTCGGAAGGTTACGACACGAACAAAATTGAAGGACAATGGAGGCAAGCGAGGGTCAGTCTACCAACACATGGAAGAATAAAAGGAACATTACTCTTCATATCTTGCCGAATTTATTTCGTTTCAGAGCCAGCCCTTTTCGTTAACGGGCTCGATCTGGCGTGGCATTTTGCAGTTACTCTGAAATTGTAGAGGTCACTTTCAAAACACTGCTTTACTGAATTCAATAGCTCCACTTATATAGAGGTGAGTGACACTCTAAAAAACATCTCATGCATAAATCAGCAAGCTTAGCCTGCAGGCATGCCCTAATCGTGAACGCTTCAGCTTGTGTGTTTCTTTGCCCGCGGGAAAGAAGGACATCTTTAGCAACGCGAGCCGGCGAGAGGTCTATGGTGATAATGTTTGACAAAGCGAGCCACTCAAGCATAACAAAGTAAACAACAAAACATTCTGGAATGTACTAGAACATTTTAATGTCATTCTGTGATTTACAGTCGAAGCTGTTATTAAGCGGCCAGTTGTCCCGAATTTGTTTTCCCATAATTACTGTAAGCGGTCACCGATAAAGGTCACTGTAAGCATTTTTCTTATTTTCAGTCTAACCTTTATTAAGCGGCGCAATATTAAGCGGTCACCCTGTATTAAGGGGTCAGGTATTAAGTCCCAACGGCCTGTTTATATTGTCCTCTACCTGGATTGATTGATAACTGATCACGAAAGCGGGACCTGACTCAAATATTACGAATAATCTTTCAAGTAACTTTTATCCCAAAATCAAAGTAGCGAGATCAAAGTAGCAAAATCAAAGAGCGAGACTCTGTACATTAAATGGTCAATTATGGCATAAAGTGGCGTTGTTTGTAATACTCCTAATCCGTGGAACCTGTATCAAGCGGTCATCCTGCCATTCCCCGTAGGTTACCGCTTAATACAGATTCGACTGTACACTACACTACAGCATTAGTTATATTTACTGGTACGAAACAGTCTGATGGTCATATCTTTTACGGAGACTTAGATAACTTTGCTGCAAACATTTTAATATTTAGTTCCTAGACTTCGCGTGGCGCGTTAACATTCTTGTTTTCGCTAATTTTTTCGGACTTGCGCAATGGACTTTGCCGAAAAGGAGGGCTTGCTTGCAGTCCATTTAGAGATTGAAACCTTTCTCAAATTTTTCTCTGTGTAACATAAAGCAAGATATCATAGTCTCTTACATAAAGATATTGCGAATGAAACACCAGGATTTCTTCAGTTTCGAAAACATAAAATCTTCACCGAATCATACCGACATTTTTATACATTTTCAAACACAGTAATATTTTTCTCAGGCTCGTTGTTATATGCATTCAGATGTGTTTGGAAGTTTCATTATTTTTTGTTCTATAAAGCCTGGTTTTTATTAGCGTCGAAAGCATAAGCGCAAGCACAAATAAAGCATAACAGCTCTTATTTCACCGTGAAAACAGCCTCTATGCAAGCAAAAAGACAAGCGCCGGCTTGCACAGGCACAAGAATCAGAATTTTTCCCTTTTCTTGTACTAGTGCTTGTGCTTGTGCTTGTGCTTGTCGACGTTCGTTTTCACTTGGTATATTTAACTTGTGCATACGTTTGTGCTCACGCTTGTGCTTGCGTCGCTAATGAAAACCAGGTTGTACGCCGTTTGTAACTGTAATACCTGATTGCTGATTCCATGGGGAAAATTGTGCTTTAGATCTGATGCACTAGATGAAGTGGAGCTGTCAGTAATTTCCGAAGAACAAGTGGTAACAGTGCCTACAGTGCCTGCCGCAGTTGCGAGGGGGCTATCACCAGAACTTGACATCAAGGCTTACGTAGATAAGGATCAGATCGAGGGGAAGATTCCTGCTGGTTTTGGTGTGTATGATCACTGAGAGTCTCATGAGGATTTGTGGGATTAATGATAACGTGCTTTGATTCATTATTGATCTACCTGTTAAAGAACTTTGTGGATACAGTCAGTTTGGTTTGTCTTGAATGTGACAGATATTAACTAAACGATTGGGTTGGGCTGGTGATAAGGATAATCATAAAAAAAAAAAAAAAAACAGAAAAAAGGCTCTAGAAGTTTACTCGGTATGCAATTGACACCCTTGACAGCAGCTCCCAGTTGGCTTGTTAGTTCAGTTGGTAGAGCGCTGCACCGTTATCGCAGAGGTCATGGGTTCAAATCGTACAGGCCTGAAGTTTTTTCAGGCCTTATTTTCACTACTGCTCAAGTAGTGTTCATTACTGCGAAGATCGCTTTCATATTCATGACACCCTTGTATAGCTTAAGTTAACGCCATTTTTGGCATATTGTATCATGGATCTGTACTATCCTTGGTTTTTGTGGTCAATGCACGCATTTTGGCTTCCTATTGGTAATGTGCTGAACTGGGGACTAGAAAATGCCTTGCACGCCGTTTTTTTGTGGTTGGAAAAAATTGAATTATATTATATCGAGTCTTCACAATGCTCGTTTTCTATGCCTTGCGTTTCCAACTGGTTGAATTAGACTCTTTGTTGGAGTCAAAGCTCACCGAGAAGGTAATGTGCCATCTCGTTGTCAAAGAGTAAGGTGATCAATGATTTCATTATCTTTTTTCATTTCCGTGGAGGAAAAGCTCCTTTCTGCAAGCAACAAGTGTACAGAATTATGTGGTGAACTCAATTAATCAGTCGGCTGTCAGTGGCTGTTGCCAATGATCTATAAGAGTGCAGATGCATGGTTTATCTCAAATAAGCTGTTTTTTCACTGCCTCAGCAAATATAGTGTTCAGTTTGACAACTGTTGCGATTATTTTTCGGACTAAGCTTATTAGTAGCGATGTTGACCTCGTCTGTGTCTGTCCTCTGATAGATGATAAGAAAAACGAATCAAAATGCGTGTACGACTAAGTGTCTTCCTACTTATAGATAAACAATGGCGTCAAAATTTAGTTAAAAGAACAAAAAAATAAACATCAGCGACATACGCATGCGCCTTTACCTTAAGTGTTGCCTTTTTTTTCGTTCTACAACATTTTGATGTCACTTGTGATCTATCTTTGTCTGAAAAAACACATAGCAAATTTTGATATATCATCTATCTGTATACGCAGAGGACGAGCATGAGAATATTGATGCTTCTACTCAACGATCCCAACGTGAAAGTAAGTGAAAGAGGGAATCAAGAAGGACATACACACAAAGCGCAAATAAACAGACTTAATAAAACATTAGTGTAGTTGTGTTACTAAGTCAACATGCATTCATTTCGTTTCTTCAAAGTTTCTTCCTTCTCCGAAGAATGTTCATCACACGAGAAACGAGGGCCACATTGAGAGGGTGGTGAAATTCAAACTTACTTCTTTTTTTGGTGGTTGTTTAATTGAAAAATGTTCATACTTGTGAATCTTTCTTGCATGTGTCTGATTGTTTTACAGAGATAGAGAAGGATTTGGATGATGTTCTGCGTAAGGGTGATTTCCATGCGATTGATCAAAGAGTGACTCCAAAAACCCTGAAAGGGTGTAAAACTAACACCTTAATCAAATCTTTCCAGGTTGGTCTTGTAACTTTATCTTTACCTATTTTACCGGCATAGTTTACTTAGGGCTGTATCGCCAGACCAAGTGACAAAAGTGTTCCTTATTTACTTTGATTTTCGTTTCGTTTCTCCATACGATTAGCTCGTCATGCGCATACCACTCTCTCTACGAATTAGCGTCAAAGTTACAACCAATTGCTACTTGTTCACTGTCTGAGAGTGTGCTTGTAAGTTTGAAGTATCACTGGCTTGCAGTTATATCTTGTTTTCTTTCTTATTGGTCATCGAGGTTTCAGTGTACTAATTTACAAAGGACAATCGAAAAAACTCTCCTGCTATGTTCAACACTGGAGGCTAACGAGAAATCAGAAACAATTTCTTTGATTTTTTACGAGCCATTTGATAAAAAAGATAACTTTATTCCTTTTTAAACATAGGTCAACAAAACACTGCGAGATTTAGCGGATGGTGCAAATCCGGAGAAGTACGATATAAAAAAGCTTGAAAAATCTATTGACGAGTTCACATCAGCCTTGATAGATCCCCTTAAAGCCGACGCCGATACCAGAAATACATTTCAAAGTTGTTTTGATGATCTGGTGGACAAGGCAATAGACACGAAGCAGAAGAAGGTACTACACGAGTGATAAAAAGGTTTCCAATCAATACTTTATGATATCCTTCAGCCCTAAAGTCGATTTTAGTGGGAATGCTGTCGCCCATCTGAACACACAGGTGCCCTTACCTTTACGTATTATAAGGGTAAGAAAAGAAGAGAGACAACAATGTTCCCATCAATAACCACCGGTGAGGAGGCTTTGTGGGATATTACAAAGGGGAAAATATATATTTTTTAAGATTTATGCACACAATATTACGGTATACTTGATGCCAATTTAATGTACATGACGTCATTCTTGTCTTTCCGCTGTATGTACAAGGAAGCAATTAATCAATTTCCAGTGAAAGAAATTTATATTCTGGTGAATTTACTGAATGATATGATGCCAAACTGAATGATTTAAAGACACTGAGCATATTCACAGCTCGGCGCCATAGCCAATCCGGTCAGAAATTAGTTTCCAACTTGAACTGTATTAGTTATTTCTAAGAAATCTTTTTTACACCCTTGCTTTAGCAGTTCTATTCTGTTGTAGATCACAGATGACGTCAAAATGTGGCAAGAGCAAAAAGGTCGCTGATGACGCGCGTTCGAGTGTATCACTGATATGTCGCTGGAATTGTTTTGATTTAAATGAAGCCAAAGTAATAAGCAAGAACCAGTCCAAATTCAGCTTATTGCGTAATGAAGAAATGTAAAATGGTTTCCGTGTTTACATAGCTTGATGTAAACACGCGGGAGGTTGGGAAAACACGAGATAAGCGTAGGAAACCACGACGCGAAGCGGAGTGGTTTCCAGCTAAACTAATGAAAGAGGAACGAAAACCGTGTTTACATACGCTCGTGTAAAATGGTTTTATGGCCAATCAGAGCGCGCGTACTATTTGAATTATTTTATAAAATAATGTATCGACGAATTTTTTCGTAGTTCATCTCTCACCCAGTGGTGTATAACTTGCTCAACTCCAGATGGTACCGCTCCTTTTTTCAAGTAAGAAAAGAATCATGGCGGACACCTCAACGCTGGGGATACTTTTTTCTCAACCTCTGGACAGTGTTTGACATCGTCTTTTTTCCCTTTCTCTTTGCCATTTTCTTCGTCGTGCATTTGATAAAACAGGCCTTGAGGAGGAAAAGAGGTTTGTAATATCGTTTTTCTAGCATTACATTGTAATACGTTTTTAGCAAGCTCTAAAGTATTCAAAAGGTTTGGGCCTTGAGGGGGGTGAGGCGCGAAGGGTGATGGCTTTTCTTTTTATTCTTTACTCCATGAAACTGAGTTACCATGCAAGCTGAGTCCTCTCAACTGAAACAATATAGGAGTCCTTGCTAAAACTATGCGCAAAGTGCGGGTCACGCATTTCTTCCATGGCGCGTGAAACGCGCTTCGTGCTTGCCCCGTGTTTGCCTCCATTCGCCTGGAAAACGCCAAAAAACTCCGCCTGTTCTGCAGGCTACATCGTTCAAGGAGCGTTTACAGGTCTGGTATTTATTCTCACTATTCTTAAGATTGGTTTAGATCGCTATATTCAAGTTTTGAGATTAGATACAAGCAGCTACTGGGGAGTTGTTGAGGTGCTTTGTATCAATTGTTGTATGTTTCCTTTATTGATCAGTGGTTTAATCGCTTAGCTTCTAATGCTTTCCTTGATGATTTTTAGAAACTGAAATATGTTTTGTTTTGACGCCGGGCAAAGATACCTCAGAATTTAATCTAATTAAAAGGACGATAAACTACATTGTTGGTGAATATGGCTGCCTCTCTGCCAAATACTGTGTTGTTTTACATGAAGACCACAAAATTATCGGTAACATCAACTTTAAAGAGAGGTACACTACTGAGGCTGCACTTCGAGCAAGGATTGACCAGTTACAGCGGCCAAACTCAACCAGTTCACTCGGTGAAGATCTTATCGCCACCCGAAGTGCATTCACAAACCAAACACATAGGGAAGAAGCCAAAAGGTGAGGAATACTTGCGAACAACCGTTTTCTTGAGTGCTGTCGAGTTTTGTCTCTTAACTTGTTCCCATGGGCTCATTTTGCAGTCATGGGCTGTTATCAGGCCTTGGTTAGTTATACTTACAATTCGATACAATTCATATTCAATGTTGATTGATTTTGACGACCGCACGCTACAGTTGAAATATCTTTAACACATAAACACAAATCATATTTTAGTTAGTGTCAATCGATTTAATTTCAACTTTCTGCTATCCATTTCACTATTTCCATTAACTGACGCCTTCTCAGCCAAAGAGCATGCTGACATTTTTGCATACATATTAATGATTTAGTTCTTTATCGTATCTGGTATTGTATGTACATGACAGCTACAGTTATCAGTTGTGTGAACAGATTAATTAAATGGCGAGATAAACAAAACCATCAATAACTTCTGCAATAGATCCCCGGCCAGTAGTTAAGATACTTACAAGCGCATCAGTAATATTTAATGCAAATCCAATTATTGTTTTCTTAAAAGTGTTTTTTTTCCATTGAAAAAATTCAAGCAGCTCCTTTAATTTATAAGAAGGCCAGTGTATTTTCAAAATTGATAAGTTTGGGCTCATATTTGATAAAACTTGTAACTTTGTTTTTGAGAATCAAGGGGAATAAATATCACATTTTTTTAAATTTTATTTCTACATTAGGTGGTCGTGCTCTTTCTTAATGACTCGATACGCAAGGTTGAGGCTAACACCGAGAGACTACCGCCCTTACTAAAGAAGATAGAGGATATGCAAGTTAACATCGTTCCCGTCGGTATCGGGGTGTGCGCAAAATTATCAGAATTAAATGAGATGGCAACTAAAGATGGCACAGCACGTCACTTTGGAGAATACGAGTCACACGAGACGTTGGGGACAGCTATCTTACAAGGTAACTTGGGAGGTTTCAAATTACGATATAAGAAAACCCTCCTTAGAATGATTATTCTCCTTATTGGTTTGGGGAAAAAAAGAAAGTATTGCATGCAGTTGTTACAATTTTAACTGAGGAAGGTTTTAAATGGTGGTATATTTTATAAGCTTTAACTTTTCTCCCCACTTCGTAGAAGTGTGACTGGCTTTTATAATCGATATGTTTTACTTTCTTACAGGTATCGAAGGAAAGAACATCTATGGTGAGGACGGGTTATTGTTGGTGGTTAGAATTCCAAAGACCGTTGAACTTTTGAACATTCTAAGCTAGCGTCTCAATCATTGTCCTACCCAGTATAACTATGATTACTATGATGTCTTCCAGAGAAATACAAGGATTACTTTACGACTCCTTATTTCATCTTTTTCCGCGACTTGCTGAGCTATCTCATCCTCCTCGTTCTTCACTTCGCCATTTGCCTTTCCCCTTCAACTGTTGCCTTCAGTCGACTAGAATGGGTCATTTTAGGTTTCTTCATGGGACGTGTTTTGGTGGAGGTGGATCAGTTTATTGGTGCCAAGCTGTGGAGGAGGAGTAGACATGGCTCCAGTTACCAAGTAGGTTCACATGAGGGTGAACAAGAGATAAATGAGGCAGAAGAAGACAATATCTTGCCAAAGAAGCTTAGTAATTATTTCAGGTATTTCAGGTTTTTATTGTCCGACTTCTAGTTTTTTAATTCTGGATTGTTATTCGTATGGGGGCATGATTAGCTAAGAAGGATAGGGAAAAAAAGTTAACGACTTGACGAAGGTAACAAAATGAGTCACTGTTCTCTGCTTAGGTGCACTGGTCATTTTTTTAGAGCTGCATCATCAATCATGAGCTGAAATTGTTCACTGCGTAGGTTCAACAATAGTAACCAGCGTTTATTGTTTTGGTACACCATTAATTAGCTCGTACTCATTGTAACAACAGATATTGTTACATGTAAGTTCTGATTTTCTTGCTTCGTAATTATGCAAAGTGTGTTCATGGATCACATTAAATAAATAATGGTCTTCTAGTACTGATATCTACTACTTTTATAGTGACCGTTGGAATGTGCTTGACTTCATCATTCTTGTTTTGTACCTGATTACCTTCATACTACGCATAATTACATGGAGGAACTCCACGGACGTGTCAGACAACAGACTCTTGGCTGTGTCAGAGTGTTTCTATGGATTTATCGCCATGTTTCTCACACTGAGAACCTCTGGTCAAGTCATAGAGGGCGTGCAGGGAATGGGAGCAATACAAATCGCTTTGTTCTCTGTTATCTGGAATGTAATGGCGATATTTTGGCAGTTTTTGGCCATGATTCTAGCATTTTCTCTGGCTATGACCAAGATATATGTTGCCGAGAAGGCTTATACCTTAGGAAAAGATTCCGTGGAGGATTTGTGAGTACACATTGCAATCCTTTGTTGGGCTTATTCATTTGTTACTCTTTTTTGTAGTGGGGTGGAAAATCTTTCCTTTTACGTTATGGAGGGGAACCTCAAGTATGTCTAGGCAACTGACGTGGGGAATAGTGGGCTAAAAGCTAAGCAAGTGAGATTAAGTTTTTTGGAGGGGAAGCCAACAGAAGAGTAAAACTACTCAGTTCAGAATGTCAAATTTTGCATGAAAGGCCGATTTTTTACAGTCTTCATGAATGCTCAAGCAGGAATTCTTAAAAAGAAGCCCCAATAACTAAGTCACTAGGTAGCATCACTACTACACAAAAGGTTTGAAATGAAATTATGATAGCCTGATACCCATTAATCATTGCTGAAGTCGTAGTCATAAATTGTGGGGTCAGAGACTTGCTATTAACTGACTTTTTGTGCTTTTGGAGGTACCCATATGTATGGGCTCAGGAATGTTGACAATTTCTGCGGAACAGCACAACCTTGTAAAATAAAATTTTAGATGGGGGTGGTGTTGATGTAACTTTGACAAGTTCATTTCCTCCTATCATTTTTAGGACATGCAGTGATTCCGGGCTAATTTGGTAAGAGTAAAACTGTTGTTGTTGTTAATTTTTCTACTCTAATTTTAACTTTGTACTCTGATGTCTGAAATAAACAATTTTACACAAAATTTTTGCTAACCTTGAATTTTGGGCTTTCAATATGCTGCGATTATTTAAAAATTTTCAAGCGTGAAATTCTACACCTAGGGGATCGGAAAGGTGAACTAAGGTCTCCCGGGAGGAAAAATAGTGGAAAAAATCATACTGATGTGTTAAAATGAGTACTGACGTTCAACCACGAGCTTTACCAGCCTCATCATGAAAAATTTGCGGGGAAGACGCTCTTTCCTTTCATGGCAGCAGAGTTACTTACTGCAAAAAGGCCAACCCAGCTCTTAGTTTACCTTCTTAAGAGGTACCTTACGGTTTATCCATCTGAGAAAAATCTAGACTTCATCGATGATATTTCTTTTCTCTAGTGGGATCCCTCAGGTTTAAGGATATCTAGTAATAATTTGGATACCAACATACAAATGTGTTGATGTTTGACTTAATGGAGCTTACCAGGAATCTTGAAAGCAAATTTTTTTAATCGATGATCCATGTAGGAGTAGTGACACGATGGCTTCCAGGTTACAGACGTTTAAAAACATTTATGACGATCTCAATTTCAAAAATTGAATGGTGTTTCGATCTAAAAATCGTTACTTATGTTCTTCAGTTGGTGGAACATGGCGACACACCTTGGTTGGTCTTTACTGGGTTTAGCTGACCTGGATAGGTTGAACTCCGTCGACAATCCATCCGTTTATCTTATTCATGTGCTGTACAGCTTCTTTTTTAATCATGGCAGTTATTCTTCTTGTAAACATGATGATTGCGTTACTCTCCAATACCTATCAGCAGGTTCAGGTACTAAACGGTCTTTTTACCTTCGCTGATGTATATTAATTCTGTTCATAATCCAGAGTTAAGAAAATATGAGAAGTTCTCGACTGTAAACTTAATAGGACTTTACTGCCGCAAGATATAAAATACATTTTTCGCAAAGTTCAGAAGATTTCATGATCATTTATAAATGTATTTTTGGCCGACTGACGCTTTAGACGAAAATGATGGTGAATATTGTCCCTTTGGTATGATATGTCAAAATATTCTTACGCTATAGGAGTGTCGCCTGTTGTTTTTATTAACTGGTACTTCCTTAGAGGCTGTTACTTCCCTCTCTATTCCTCCTTTATTAGGATAATTCGATGCAGGAGTGGTCTTTCAAGAGAGCAATTACTATTAGGACTTACAGTACCTATCATCCGATACCAGTGCCCTTCAACCTTTTGTCCGTCCCCCTGATAGTACTCTGGAACCTCCGTCGGAAGTGTTCGTGTAAAACATGGTGCGACACTCCTGCTTCGCTCGAGAGACGGGTAAGTTGGTAACGCCTTGCCAATTAGTTTTGTGAGTTTTGACAAGCTGCTGTTGTTTAAAGTTTTCATTTAGGTGTGCTCGGTGATTTTACTTCACTTTCGACGTGGCCCTCTTTGATTCGACAGAGAGAAGCTCTGAATAAAGTGGTGAAGAAGCTAGAAAGGATGTACTTCGAGAAATACGGTTATAAATTTCCCCTCACAGGTGGGTGATGTGCTAGATTGGTATAGATAGCCCCAGAAATCTATGATATGGTCCTAAAAAATAATATCGCGCAAAGAGATGTTGTTCTACTAACCCTTGCTTTGTTATTATCAAATGAACATTTCTAAAGAACTTTAAACCATTAGAGGTAAGAATAAAACAAGAAATAAAAAATCAAATAATTCCATTGATGATGGTTTATTCAAAACGAGGCGTATTGTAAATATTTTGTTCACACGATTCAGAGAAGGCCAATTTAATACTTCGTTCCTCGCTTTGTTTTAGAGGGGAAAAAGATGGATCACCTGGTGCAAGAAAATGAGAGAGGTCGAAAATTGGCCAATCAGATAGTTCGGCAAGTATTCCGACCGCGTGGAAACAAGGAGGAGAAACTTGCGTTTGGCCAAAGAGTGAGTATTTTTCAGGCCCACATTCACGTGTGAATTAAACAGGAAGTTTCCCTACCATATACTATGGATCCTGCTCTATCAGGATACAACTTTTTAACATTTTTAATTTGCATTTTAACCTTTTCCCTTGAACAAAAATTTTAATGTACGATTGAGAAAATCACTCAAGAAATGTTGTGCTGCAATTTCCTTCTACCCTTGAAGAAAAACGAACAGTTTTGTAGTGACTTAAATAAGCTGATCTCAAATGCTGCTCCGGAAAGTACAAAAAAGTCAGCAAAATATGCTGCGATACGGAAATGAATGGGAGGGTTGTAAATTGAATAAAACCTCTTCTGGCTTGCTGGTATGTCGGCTGATAATGTCCCTGGTTGAGAGATTATCTTTAAGTTTTTAAATTTCTCCTTGAGGCTTCGGTTCTTGGCCAAATATTCATTTTTTGGACAATGTCTCAGCCGCAGACATTTTCAGGTGACATAGCAGTCGCCAAAAGGGGGTCCTTCAGTATACTGAGGTTTTACTCGATTGTTATTTAAAGGCGTGGTATGATTCGCCGGGAATTGCTGTCGATGGCTGTCTCCTAACTTACGTGGGACCAGATTTCTGCGATACATGCAAAAGTGGAGATCCTAAGAAAATTCACAGTGCCAAGTTCAAGTCTCCCTTTACACCTGAGAAACCACGATTTGAGGTGCGGTTTTGACCTATAGAGAATTATTTTCAAACAAAAAATTTAATTTATATACTTCTTGCTTCATGATAGACTCTTTGAAGATGCAACATAATTACATCGCCTTTTTACCCTCTTCCCTTTCATAACCTCTCTCTTGTAGGCGCTCGTATTCTTTTCTATTTTGGAGCACTACAGACACTCATCTTTTTACGAATGAACCTAACGGTGCCTCCATAATAAAAAGACCAGACCGGTTCCAGAAATAAACTCTTTATGTTCCTCTTGTGGTATCCTATTTTCACCTTCGCTTTCATGGTAACGTGTCAACATGGATCTCGTTTGGGCACTTAAGAATAAGTCTCTGTAAGAATCAAACATCTTGGGAAATGAAAATTTTCAACCCCCCTTCAAATTTTGCATGCAGTTAGGCACTCAGGGGGATGCACAAAAATGCCCTTTTTAAAGGTCACAGCACTCTTGTTGCCATGGTAACAACGGCTGCTTGTTCCAGGCCTGGGGCCTCATTTTCATACAAAAACGTCGCAAAAAAAGAGTGAAATGTTTATTTCTTTCTCTCAAGCTAAATACAACATTACAAATTGGCACTTATACCATATATAGTAACATCATTCGTCTCCACTTTGATACATTCAATTTTACCTGGGAGTGAATGTGAACACACCAATAGATTATTTATCTCGGTACAGTTTCGGTCATTTTTGTTGTCGGGTAAAACAGGGAAAACGTTTATCTGAATTTCTCCAAAAGTACCCCGATTCTGGAACTGAAACTACCCATCTAGCTGGTTATAATATTCAATTTTTTTAAATATTTAAAAATCTCTGCGGGCCTGCCTCTACTTTTTATAGGGGCAATTCGCGAAAAGAACTCAAAATCAGATATTGCATAATTTGGCGATGTTTACATCTAATGTTCTCAACAACAAACGTTTCAGACAAATGAAACGTGCGAGGCTTTGAAAGAATGTTATCTTATGAGAAATATCCCGAAGAGAAATCTAACCTCTGGTTGTCATCTTTTAAAAAACAATTGATCAACCTTCATGGAGGACAACTCGACGTAACTACAAACATATACCTCAAATCGTGTGGATATCATCCAGATTCCGGGTGCTGCGCCTTCTTTCATGGGAATTTGAGGAATCCGAAATCCTCTGAAGATACACTATTATACTTGTATGTCATTTGAAACATGTTGAAGTCGGCTGATCTACACGAAACTATCCTCACACCGGTCATTTGTCATCAACATGTACGTTATCACGATGGCGTGACGCTGTATTTCTTCGTGAAGTTTCCATCGGTCGCTCCAAAAAGACGAGAAATGGATATTTTTTTTCATATATGTCAGTAGGTTTACGCTTTCTGAAGTAAAAACAACCCAAAACAATAAAAAAAGAGGAAACTTCGATTGAAAGCTCGTAAACACTGATAATCTGAGAGTATAAATCGTAACTTGTCAGCAGCAGTAACTCATGTAAAACCCAGTTGCAACAATAGCAATTTGAACGACATAGACATCTCCTACAAAGAGCAGATTCGGGCAGTTATCATTTCCTTGTGACAGAAACTAAGATATTTCGAATCACCTGAAAACTGTCAGAAACTGTTAGAAAATTTGCGTAAGATATGATGAGGAGAGACTTATCACCGCCGTGGTGCAATCGAGTCAATCAATGTTTCCTTCCATGTCTTGATAAAGAAAAACTCATAACAATGTTCGAAATAAAAGATTTAATGAAATCATAATGTCATAATTCCACCTTTCAAACAACTTATTATCCACACGTAAATCGCAAATTGTCACTTGAATGAAACTCCCCATCGTTGATATGTAATCTGGATTGCTTCATGTCCTTCAGGAAAAAGAACAGCGATTTCATCACCATTAATTTCCATACTTTTCTCCCGGATATCTTTTACAAGCTTAAAGAAAGATGAATATAACGCAATCTCCCGGTGATTTACACGAGAGGAAGTCAAAGGTCTCTTTAATTTTCCCCTGAGGTGGCCGACTCACCAGGAAGAAAAAGGAGATCGTTCGGTCCAAATATGTTGGTCTGTAGAGATTAACAAGCTAATAACTGAGAAGATTGTGCCCTTTGGTTCATCAGTGACAGCATTAATTATTTCAAATCTGTATTTCTCGGTCCAAGCGACACCAAAAATAGTTCCTTTGTAATTTTGTAAGCACTTTCTATAGAATTTTATTGTCAAGGGAAATAAATCTCAAGGCTCAAAGCCAATATAACGTTCGAGCACGTGAAAGACTCCCTGAAAAAAGCTAAATTTTTGGAAATTTATTGTGATGAAATCCCTGTTCCGTTTGCAGTACTGCAGGGATACTGAGTAGTTCAAAATCTCCACTTTGTGATGATTTTCGCGCGAGTCGCAAAAATTGCTATTGTGGCGACTGGGTTTTACATGAATTACTGCCGCTGACAAGTTGCGATTTCTGCTCTCAGATTCTCAGTGTTAACAAGCGTTCAATCGAAGTTTTCTTCTTTTTTTTTTGGTTGTTTCTATTTAGAATGCGCGGAAATCTGCTGATATATCGAAAAATGTCCATTTCTCGTCTTTTTTGGAGCGACCGATGGAGACTTCATGGAGAAATACAGCGTCACGCTAACATGACAACATACATGTTTATGACAAATGACCGGTGTGAGGATTCGTGTAGATCAGCCGACTTCTTATGCAATATCTGATTTTTGAGCTTCGTTCGCGAATTGTCCCTATAAAAAGTAGAGGCAGACCCGCAGAGATTTTTACATATTTATAAACTAGAATATTATAACCAGCTAGATGGGTAGTTTCAGTTCCAGAATCGGGGTACTTTTGGAGAAATTCAGATAAACGTTTTCCCTGTTTTACCCGACGACAAAAATGACCGAAACTGTACCGAGATGAATAATCTACTGGTGTGTTCACATTCACTCCCAGGGAAAATTGAATAAATCAATGTGAAGACGAATGATGTTACTATGTATGGTAGAAGTGCCAATTTGTAATGTTGCATTTAGCTTGAGAGAGAGAAATAATCATTTCACTCTTTTTATGCGACGTTTTTGTGAGAAAATGAGGCCCCAGGCCTGGAACAAGCAGCCGTTGTTACCATGGCAATAAGAGTGCTGCGACCTTTAAAAAGGGCATTTTTGTGCATCCCCTTGAGTGCTTAACTGCATGCAAAATTTGAAGGGGGGTTGAAA